TAAATTATTTTCAAAACTAAACTTAAAGTCTCAACATTGAGACAAATAAAACAAGAATACCAGGCTGTAAAATAATATATATATTTCTTTAGGGTTGCTCGTGAACGTAATAGAAACATTGATAGAATCGACGATAGAAATGTTCCCATTCTAGAATTAAATCTAGTCAGGCAGATTAGAAATTATTTAACCGAAATGTTTCCACTGAAAAGCATCGATCGAATCCTGCTAAAATTTTCACCAAGATACGTTCTTAACTTATCAACGATTACCAGATAATTTATAGGCCAGGTCATCCATATATCGATAATTGATCGAGTTCGAGTTACTTATGGCAATTCCTTGCTTTCGTCTGATCTCTGATTATTCTGGAAAAATGAAGGAAAAAGATATTATCGATCTCTTTAATATTTTTTTTTTCCCTTTTTTTCAGCATGGTTCAATCAGAGATGTTCCATTAAAACATTCGAAAATCCTTTCGATGTGACATTGCGTTGGAATTATAAAAGTTGCTCCAATTTTTTTTTCCGAATATAATGGAAAAAATGTTTTAATGAATTTATTAAAACTTTGATTTAAAATAAGAAATTGTGAGTATTTGAAACGTAGATATCGATTCATAATGGAAAATTTTAAGTTTCGAAATCGAAAAATCTAAAAATCAAATTTAAAAATCAGAAAAATATTTGTTTTGGAAAAAGATGAAGAAATAATATTTACAATTAGAAATAGCCATCCCTTTCAATAATGTTAAAAACTTCAATCGTAACCAATTATAACTTCAAGAACAACTGTAACAACTTCAGAAACTTGATGAGAAATCTTAAAAACCATCTCAATCAAAACTCTAAAGTATTTGAGAAGTCAGAAAAGAACCACGTTAATTATCAGATTCTATCTAACTCTTCAATAGCACACGATAAACTTCTTATCGCGACAATTCGATTAATTTATTGAAAAAGAAAATGGTTAAAAATTAATTGTTTTTGTTGTTATTACTATTAAATAGTTATATTACTATTAAAATAGAGAATTTGTTTTCGCTTAATGAACATAAAAGTAAAAATTAGAACTTATTTATGAATGCAAAATATATATCTTTGATGTGAAACAAAAACTCACGAAAGTTTTTGGAATTATTCCAGTCTTTATAATTTTAAAATTATTATCCAAGGAATGCTATCTTTTTTAATCATTCAAATTTATCTATTTATAATCAAATATTATTTAGTTATGAATTTTATGTCTTCGAATTAAGTTAATATATATATATATATATATTATTAGGATATTATATTGTATTGGAGTTTATCCAATTTTATTTGAATTTTCAAATTGTAATTATACAATTATATGATAAAAATATCAACAATAATTTCATTTAAAGAAGAGAAATCAATTTATCTCTTTTAGTTTCTAGATTTATCTCTTTTAGTTTCTAGATCTTAATATCATTGATTAAAGGATTTACATTTTTTTTCTTCTTAGAATTTAATAATATATTTTATATCTCAATATTCAATCTTTCAAACGAATTGCTATTACCAGGCAAACAAATCGAAATTAATATATATTAGAATATTACATTGTATTATTAGTTTTAGGTATTGAGAAGTTTATCTAATTTTATTTGAATTTTCAAATTATAATTATACAATTATAGATCCAATACGATAAAAGTATCAACAATAACTTCATTTGAGAAATCAATTTATTTTATAAATTAATTTTCTTTTAGTTTCTAGATGAATATCATCGAAGGATTTATTTTCTTATTCTTCTTCTTCTTAGAAGAAGAACACATCTTAACAACACATCTTTCAATATTCAAACTTTCAAATAAATTGTCACTACCAGGCAAAAAAATAGAAATTAATATATTAAAATATTAGAATATACATAATACAATATAATATTAGAATATTATAGTTTTGTATTATTAGTTTTAGGTATTAGAGTTTGTCCAATTTTATTTGAATTTTCAAATTATAATTATACAATTATAAATCCAATTATATGATAAAAGTATCAACAATAACTTCTTTTACTTTATTTATTTACTTTTTTATTCTTCTTCTTCTTACAACACATTTTACATCTTTCAATATTCAATCTTTCAAATGAATTACCACTACCAGGCAAAAAAATGGAAATTAATATATTAAAATATTAGAATATACATAATACAATATAATATTAGATTATTACATTGTATTATTAATTTTAGGTATTGGAGTTTGTCCAATTTTACTTGAATTTTCAAATTATAATTATACAATATATTATAAATCCAATTATACGATATCAACAATAACTTTTTTTACTTTTTTATTCTTCTTCTTCTTAAACCTTAACAACACATTTTACATCTTTCAATATTCAATCTTTCAAACGAATTACCACTACCAGGCAAAAAAATGGAAATTAATATATTAAAATATTAGGATATACATAATACAATATAATATTAGAATATTACATTGTATTATTAATTTTACTTGAATTTTCAAATTATAATTATACAATATATTATAAATCCAATTATACGATAAAACTATCAACAATACCTTCTTTTACTTTTTTATTCTTTTTTATTCTTCTTCTTCTTAAACCTTAACAACACATTTTACATCTTTCAATATTCAATCTTTCAAACGAACTGCCATTACCAGGCATTTCAAATCGATATCGAAATACGAGTAGTCAGGAATAGGAAAGAGATTTCGAAAAAAAAGCAAAATTTTACCCGAAACAAGGAACAAATCGCCGAACGAGGCCTGTTGTCGAGGCGGGCAGCCGAATAAATACGGCGCGCAAACGCGCGACATGCGCCCTCACAACTGGGTCACAACCCACCGACGGCGGCGGCCGTCTGAAAATCCATTCCTGGCCTCGAGTCCGCTCTCCTAGGTCAGGGTGGCAGGAGGAGTCTGGCTATAGTCGTCGAGGCGAAATGGGCTGGACAACGCTGCGCGCACAAGTCGTTAGTAGTATTTACACGGCATTGAACACGCACCTGCTGGGACCCGGGACACCTGCCACCCCTTTCGCTTTCCATCCACGCCACCGGCACCACCATTTTCTTTCTTCAAAAGAGACAAAGAGGAAAAAAAAAAACACGCGATCCCTTGTGCAATTTCGTGAATCATCATCATCTCTCTCTCTCTCTCTATCTATCTATCTATCTCTGTCTCTCCGTTGCTATGCGGGTCGCGATTCTTTCTCATCTTCTGAACAGAACCTGTCTGTCTCGTGTCGTGTCGTGTCGTGTTAGTTTGTGAGTTAAATGGTAGATTGGACTCGTGATGGAAAAAAAATGCATCAGCTGTGGTGTTCAAGCGTCAGCTGTGTGTAATGTGAAAACACGTGACGACGCATGGTGGTGATGGGGGTGATTGTTGATGATCCAGAGGATATAAGATAGGACTTTTTCACGACCTGGCACGTGCGTTGAATGAATTGATCCGAAGGAAGAGTCGTTTCTTCGCTCGTTGAGGGATAATGGACTCTTCATCATTTGGCCCTCTTTGGATTTGTGGAAAGTTTTTATATAAAAGTTGGCTGGCTTATTGGAAGAAGAATTGATGATTTTTTTTTTTTTAAGATTCGAGATGTGGTTTCCTTTTTTTTCTTTTTTTAGCAAGAAGAAGAATCAAAGTTAGGTTTAGAGATGTTGTTCGTTGTTCGTTTCACGTAGGCTTGTTTCTCTCGAATTTTAATCTAAAATCGAGTTGGAGATTGATCTAATGTTTCTCTCGAATCTTAATTCGAGATTGGAGATTGATCTATCGTGAAATATTGTCGGGTCGCAGGTTTGGTCGCTGGCTGCTGGTCGATGCACCTTCAGCCTCTTTATGAATGAAGCCCCTATAGTACAGTTACGCTATATAGGAATAGATACAATGGTCTGTTTGGGGGGATCGATAGGAATCTTGGTTGCGGCAATATCATTCGCGATCGTCCCAATTTTCGATTGAAAATTTATTTCCAACAGCGCGATGGATCAAGTATCGTGAATCGAGATTAATAACAGATTATCGATTCTATCCAAATTGATGGCATTTCGTCATCATAATAATTTTCGATCATAACGATTAAATAATTAATTAACGTTGTAAGATCGATCTTCGTTAATTATTCGTTTTGAAAAAGAAAATACGGAATTGAGAAAAAAAAAGGAAATTGAAATTACGTGAACGTGGTACACGTACGTTGCAGTAATGAGCCATCGAGTGTTTCCAATAAAATCCAATTAATACCTGTCTGTCGCATTAAAATCGTGCAGATTCCTTCTTTCGTTGCGTATATCTGCTTAACAATCGATTGCTTTGCTGCGAAAGCTCGATTATTCTCGTCGAAATTGTCCTATCTTGAGAGCATAAAAATAAATAGAATGTGATAAAAAAAATGATACATTAAGATTCGAAGGAAAGAGAATATTAAGAAAAGTCAATTACAAGAAATACAGTATTTACGTACCTTCCGTTTTTCAAAGAGGAAAAAAATGAAGTTGGAATAATTCCAAAGAAATTTTTTTAAAGTCGAAATCGAAAAGCAAAATTAGATTTCTCTTTATTATTATTTCAGTTTCGGAAGGAAGGACTGGAAGAGATTAATTCAGCGATGGAAATTCAGTAAATTATTATTTAATAAATTATCCCTATGCATCCCAATGAT